CATACTGGAATCTTAAAGATATGAACGTGACTCCATTGCTCACTTCTTCAAGCAATCTGTAAATTATAGCTCTTAAGATCTGTGAAATAAATTGAAAAAAAAACTGTTCAATTGAAAAAAAAAATCCTCAAAACACACATGTTTTTGGTTATCAAGGAAATAATCTGTACCTTTTACTTTTACTGAATATGACCTAGAAATCCTCCCAGGCCTCTGACACCTTTAAGCGTCATGGCCATCTGTTAGGGTGGACGTAAAGAGGGACGGAGGGAGCTACAGACCCATCACAGGGCGTCAGCCAAGTGAGCCAGCGCAGAGATTACAGAAATACCAGCGATAGAATGGGAGGGGTAATGGCCGTGGCAAGGGTGAGCAAAAGGTGGATGGGGGGGAGGGCGGGGATTGTAGACGGGGGGTGGGGGGGGGGGGGAGACGGGGTGAAAGCGAGCAAACGGCAGCGCCCGAGGCAATGGCTGTGGCTGGCAGCCGCTGGTACACCAGTCACCCCTGGAACACACACTCACACACTCAGAGCGCGGGTCCAGCGCTGCCCTTCTGGGCCGTGCGGCGGCAGAGGCTTTGGCACTGGACCCCCCGAGCTGGGCCCTTTTGCCACCGAGGAGAACCCGTGCCGCGTAGTGTGCCAGGGCCTGCTGAACTGGGCGAGGTGAGTCAGAACCTGTTAGCATGACTGGTGTCCCCAGTCTGACACACTGGCTTGTTTGACATGGCCATGTGCACATGAATGTTATACAAATGTGTGTATGAAAAAAAATGTGTGTGTGTGTGTGTGTGTGTGCGTGTGCGTGCATGCTCTTTTTCTCTTGTCCCTCCCAACCCTGCCAGCACTCCCTTTCCTCTCATCCAGATAAAATCCTTTCAGACACAAATTTCAATTATTCACCTCATCCAAATAATGCCATGTGACAAGAATTATCCCTACTGTAATAATCCACTTAACTGGGAAAGAGCAGCTCATCAAAAAGAGAAAAGGGGAAAGGGGCTGGAAGTGAGGGTGGTGGTGGTGGGACTTGTCAGCCGGTCTCGAATCAGGACCCATGTAACAAGAATTTCTTCCCTTTTTGAGGAGGCAGTCTTCGAGCGCACTGGGATGATGAAATTGAAGTAAATTGAAAGAAAGCCTGGGAGGATGCTCCCACAATCAATAAACCCAGGATTAAATTAGCCTTGGCATGAAGGGATGATGGGGGGAAGATGAAGAGTGAATGGTGGTGAATGACATTGAGACATGCAGGCTGAGTAACACAGCGCATCCCCGGACTGGATGCTGTGCCCAAACAAGGACGGTGAAAGTACCGGGATGTTTTCCACCCGCTCAGCAATAAAACACTCCATAAACGCTTCCTTACACCAGCAATTAAAAAAAAGAAGGTTTACTGTTGTTAAATACCCTTTGTCCACACTCACAGCTCCAACAACTTCTTCAGATTGTATGGGAGTCCCCCTGTAAAGGAGGCCTCTGCCTACTGAAACCTTTGTCCAGTTTTTTCAAGATTCTTTTGAACCAGCAGCGGAGGGAAATGAAAAAAAAAATGCTCTACCGTTACCGGCAAACCAAATCAAAATCTTCCCAAATACAGAACAACAAAGATGTGCCACGCATGATTAAAGCTACTGCTGCTGTTAAAATAGACCTTTCTCAATCTATTTTGCTGTCCAAAGACGGGGAACATTAAGTACACTCTCATTACGGCTCAGGGAAATCAGCGTGCTGCTAAAGTGACTGTCCACTAATTGGAAATCTTTTACACTCGCTGTCCCTGGGGAATGTGTAATATCATCTGATTAGCCAAATAAAAGTTACCAAAGCCTAAGGATAAAACAATGTTAATGTGTCTCTACGTGCTGCCAGTGGTCTCACAGGCAAGGAAACAATAATACTGAGGCAACTTATTAGTAATTACCTGCAGCGTTTGTTAGAATCTTATCAGAATCCTTTAGATTTTTTTTTTTGAGGTGGGGGTATGGATATGCAAGTAATACAACACATTATTTTCACTGAAGAAAAAATAAAAAAACAAGCCCAGCTTAAATTCCTCGTCGCCCATAAGGTCACATTCACAGTGGATGTGCAGTGAACTGGGAGTCCTTACTAGTGCTTCTCTGGGCCGAGCCGCTCCATCGTCTCCAGGTGGAAGGCCAGGCTGCACACACAGAAAAACACTTGTATTAGAGGGCCATCTACTGGACGACAGAGGCAAAACTCGAACTTGTACATTTTTAACGCCATACATGTGGAGGTCTTAATCAACGCCAGCCCTCAGTGAATTTCAGATCTAATCCTCGAAATGAGATTTAGTGAAAATCACATATCTAAATGAATAATGTCTTGTCCTTTGATTACATTTACAGTCAGACAAATCAAACGTGGATGCATGTGTGCACACATATTTGCAGATGCAATTATCTTTGTTAATTGTGATACCAGAACCATTTTCATTACTCTAGCTTTATTAGAACATTTCAAAATTAGAATCAGAAAACTTACGACTGCTTAAAGTGAAGACTTCCATATTTACTAGCAGGAAAAATGCCAACTTAGACCTTATTAGGAAGTCAAATATCAATTTCTTGGACAGGCACTGCCTATTTCTCTCTAATTAATTATTCTCTTATAATTCATTGGGTATTGGAGTTGATTCCAGGCTTGCCATCTGCAGTTGGAAGTTGTTTCTGTGAAAGGAGAACGGTTGGCCAAATGGGCTCACAATGAAAGTGGAGCTGGGGCGCATTACATGAACTGTAACATTTCGAGAAACTGAAGAACATCTTAAATGGACAAACACAGAAAGTCTTTGCTGTGAACAATCGCTTAAGTCTTTCATAATAGGGAGGAAAAAATACTTTTGGGCATCTGATCAGCAGAATACTGTTTTACCACACATTACGCTGCTGACTGCAACGTGAAACAACACAAACTTACATTCTCAACCAATTTTGCTGCTGTTCAAGTAATTCAAGGCTAGGGAAAAGATATCAGCTTGAATGTAGATTATGTCTCTGTCTTTTCATATTAAAATAAACCCTCTCAAAAGGAAAACAACTCACATTTCCTACAGTGAAAGCGGCAAGTTAAGTCCTTTGGATGAAAGGTTACAAATGAAATATTAATGATACTATCGATTAACTACAACACAAAATAATTCCATCAAGTGCCAGACTTTTGTCAATTATTTGCACTCTATGAATGTGCGGTATTAAAACAAAGCATTGATTCATGTTTGTTAGAGCATGGATTAGAACAGGAAGAAGTACTCCTTGTTTGTACCACAGTCGAAAAACGTATTTAAAAAAAAAACACCAAAACAGCTACATTAAGCATCAAATGATGGATGATAATAACAGTTTCATTACTTAAATCATTTCGGACTGGTTTGGGGTGGACAAAGAGAAAGAAAAGCTGCCAAATGCCTATTGCATTAGTGCACTTCCAAACTGCAAAACATTCAGAAAACGTATTGTATTGAGGCTGCGAGGTCACAACACATATCGTCAATATCTTTAAGACTTTTACTTGTAATAGGACTATCTCTGGTCTGTTAATTAGGACTGCAATCTACATTGAAGATGGCATCTGTATGTCATCTACACTAAAAAGCATGTGTGTGTGTCACACAGCTGGGATGCCACCCTCATTTAAAAAGTCCTCTCATATATTGTTATTATTGTTACATCTGATGTGGATTAAAGCACTTTATGTTATCAGAGGAGTTCATATCTGAACCACAGTTTGAAATACTGCTTGTCACTTGATTTAATCAAAGCTACGTTAGTCTCGTGGTTAAGTCAGCATACAGCATTCATTTTTCACGTTTCATTACGAATATCTTTGTTAAAAATGTGCTTGCTGAATGTAACACTGTAATTGTAGAGGCAATGGAAGAGCAGAGGAGGCAATAAGCAGACCCTGATGAGAAGTATGAGCCAACTGTTATTAACATTTACTGTCTTGGCTATTTGTGAGCCGTTTCAGTGAAGACTGTTGACATAAAACCCGAGTCCAAGCCGCCTGCCCTGTGGCTCTGTGACCTCTGCACTCCACATATCACCAGCTGCCCATGACAGACCAGGCTACATGGCCAAATGGGAAAGTTAGCAACGGTCAGCCAGTATAAATAGCTAGCCAGCAAGGCAAATAAGTTACGTTGAAGCACAGCGGAGATCTGTATGTTTTTGAGTCAACTTCGCAGCAAAAGCTTGTGTTAGAGGCAACTTTTGGAGCGTAACCTCGTTAGCATGCTACCTAGCAAACGTGCTACTATCCGCTAGCCGTGCAGTTCTGAAGAGTAACCGCTGTCTATGTGCAAAGTTATAAGCCCCTGAATATAAATGCCCTACAACGATCCAAAGTTTTATCTGCACATTAACATGTAAATGTCTTGGAGGCATAGAGAGACCTGGGTTGGTGGATCAGGTTGGTCGGTGGATGCCATCTTGCTATCCCCTGATAGCTCGAGTGAGACTCTCTCGATTGCTTTTCCTGAAACTCAAAATTTGTTATTTAGAATTCGTCCATGCTTTGTTTTAATTTTCCCCCCAATCAATATGATATTGTGTTTCCATTCTATATCTCTCGGTGCTCTCTTAAATGTTTTTCTTAAAGTCTATTTCTATCTCAATTACTTCATGTAGTGTAGTTTGCTCTCATTGGTAAATAAGTGCAACGAGCAGTTCTTTATGAACTTGCTTTTTATTTATTTATTTATTGGATTTTAGATTATTTGACTTAATTGCACTTTCTAGAACATAGAGTTTTGTTCAGCTTGTCTATCTTATATTGCAATTAAATAATTTTCATTGCACATATAGACATACATTTTTGAGTAAATTAATACTTTTTTTAATACACTGACTTAGTAAAAATAAACAATAATAGGAAACTCATCGTGGCTGGTGTAAGTAAAAAAGTTCTGAAAGTTTCTTTAATTAGCTGTAATGACTATAAGAATCTACAGAAAGGTATCTGCCGGTTTCACGTTGGTATTGCTTAAAACTACATATCCCAGACTTCATAGGGCCACGGGATGGTTCCGGGTTCGGAGAGAGATACTAGTCGATGATAGTTTATTGAGTGGCGGTTTGTTAATGTTGAAGTAAAGGGGAATTGAACACTAAGCTTCCTGCCTACAATGACAGATTTTAAAGCGTGTAAAGTTTGCAACTTCACACGCGAAAAATCTTACGGACTGGTTGTTCCGTCTATAACAGAGCTCAAGATAAAGGGTAAGTTAACATGGTTTCAACTTCTAAACGTGTCTGAGGACCTTCATCTTTGTATGGCTTCATTTGGCTGTCAAATTGTGTTTTAAAATGTGTACCAATCCCATGTAGTTCTTGTTACTTAGTGTTGGCATTTTATTTTGCATTTCTGAGTCAAATAAATCTTTAATATTCAGTCATGATCAGAACAGTTGATCCACACTGACAGCTGAGACATAGTGATGATACCACTTGATTTAAGTTTATCAATCTGTCTTGATCAAGACTACATTATGTGAAGCAGTAATTCCTTTTTCATCGTGCCTAAACTTGCAGGAGCTAAACATTAAAAGTCATTCATCACTTCCTGCTCATTCCTTGAATGCTAGTCAGCAGGCGTTGCCCAGATCATTGGATTAAAGGTGTTTGTAGGGCTTGTATTTTATACTATGAGCAAATTAACCTAAAATGTTGTGCTAATGTTTTTTAAAATCACAAACAAGATATATTTGAGCCTTTGTAAGATACTTTTGTAACAGTTAATGACTCAGAAGACCAAATTGTTGTCATTTGAAGTTTGACACTATTAAAAAAGAAAACCTGCGTCATAAACAATACTACCACTACATTGCTGCTATTAACTAGTGCATCACGAACAACCAGAAAACCTAAGTGGGTTCAGACAACTCGGAAACACCATGAAGCTTGCATCTTTGTTAAGGGCGAGCCTGCAGGCTCTTTTCTGGCAGGCGCTGAAGTTGTTTTCTCTGGTAAAGATGATTAGCTTTTATGAACAAGAGGTAATACCTACATGGATTGAATCTGTACTGAAGTATTACATTAGCTGAATATCCAGTTAGTCTATGAGTAAGCACTAGAGCTTAATAAAGGATATTTACAAGATCTGTAAAACTGATGATTTTTCTGCCTTTTCTACAGGGTGCGAGGTCCTTGAGATCAGCCCCACTGACTCAGTCATGGTGGTCCTGGAGAACGATGGGACAATAGTGGAAGATCAAGCCTACTTTTTGTGTCTACCCACAAACACAAAGTTCATGCTTCTGCACGACAAAGAGACCTGGGCTCCCGCTAAAAAGAGTAAGCAGGATCAAATGTTTAAAGTTTGGACAGTTTGATGTCCATGCATCAACCAAATGGTCATCCTTGTGTTTGGTTATCCGCTTCATTCTCACTGTAGTTGATGGTGGCACGGCTTGGATGGCGAGAGACTCTTTGGTGCTGGACACTGATACTGTGGACAGCACGGTGGCGCCCTGGTGGGGTCTGGCTCAGCAGCTGAAGCAGGACTTGACAAGCATCATTCTTATGTCTGAGGCAGACCTACAGGTACCAACCTGACTGCTCTTTCAGCACAGCTTCCTCACAGGCATATGGCAGAGTACAGTTATGGATGGAGGGGCATTTAAAAAAAGACACTCTCAACTCTGTTGTCTCCCTACATATTACTCCTGTTTATCACTTCAGAGACATCATGCATCATGACACAGATGTATTTTTCCTTTTCTTTTTACTAGTTTTCAAAAACAGTTTTCACCCACAGTAATATGTTACTTCTTTGGGAATAAGCTGTGTCCCCTGCTGTTTCAGAGTTTGGTGGATGTTCCGTGCTCTGAGCTAGCCTCTGCTCTGGGCTTCCACGAGAAAAAGGCACAGGACCTCCAAGAGACTCTGCAGAAGGTTTTGGATCGAAGGGAAGAAGAGAGGCAGTCGAAGGAACTACTTCAGCTGTACCTCAAAGCTGTGGAGAATGAGGACAGACAGCAGGAGCCCAGTCGGGCAGGTAGGGCTGTGTCTGTATGTGGAGGTTTTCATTTGTACTGCTCACAAATCATTCTAAATAACTACCTGCGGCATGCCTGCAGTACCTGATAAACGAGTTGTTCAGTTTGTACTTTTGTTGGAAACTGTGATATGTTTCTACATCTTCCCTACAGGGTCATTTTTGTAGGTAATTTTTCTTTCATTTGGTAATAAAGCCCTCTGGAGAAAGGCTTTTTCTATTCTTTGAGACATTGAATTTACAGCCTCTGCAAATCTGTAGCAGCATAATCAAGCCTGACATCAGTGTGTAAAACAGAAACCCTGGGTCTATAACGATTCCTTTGCCGTAAGTCGGTTTTCCCTTCATCTCCTAAAAACAGCAATGAGGATAAGTACATACTTAACAAAACCTTTAGGTTATTGTAAGATTTTATAGTTCACAAGCAGGTAATTCTCATATTTAATTCTTTTTTGATGAATCTGTGATCAGACCCTTCTCTGCTGGCTCGTATTTGTTTGCTCAGAGGGTACAACACTTTCACCTTTTCGTCACTAGATGGAGTTCTTGTTACTGCCAAAGCGTCCCACCTAACGCAGCAAATTTACCAATCAACCCTGTTTTAAGGCAAATGTTCCTCAGTGAAAACCTTTTTTTTCAATATGTCAGGTGCTGGGGATGTAGACTATCCAGATGGAATGGAGGTGGACCCAACATCTGGATTCATGTCCAGGACACTGATGGTCCTAAAAGGGAAAACAAGCCCAGAAACCAGACTTTCCACCGAGGATCTGCAGGTATTTTACTCAGTCAGTTTAAAAGTCAGTGGAAATACAGATATAATCTTATCATTGTACTTGATACAACTGTAAATGCTCTAAAGAATCCAGCCTGTGTTTGACACAACTGAACGACAGATTAAGGGACTTGAATAGCCAAGTTGCTTCTGGTATTTCAGCCTTACAACATGTCATCATCTTCATACATCACTCCTTATGATGCAAGGCTTGTATTTAGTATTCACCTTGTTCACACCTGACACAGACGCTCATCTTTGTTAATATGATCCAAAGTGTTCAGCTGTAGCTTCATGTGACTTCACACCTCTGGCATTAGCCTGTGTCAACAAATGCATTTCAAGTGACCACTTGTGATTAGATCACACTCCCCCGCTCTGTGTTCCGTTTGACCTGGCATCATAGGTAATGTTACAGTTTTTGCATGGCCCGGGTTTGCAAACTTACTTTCAGCTACCGCTCTTTACCACAACCTACCTGTTACAAGCAATTAAGAGGAAGGCAAATCCGCACCCCACCCACACTCCTGTACATATAGGTCACTTAATCCCTTGTGTGATGGAATCATTGGTGGCACTTTAAATTGTTCCCTTTTAAACAGACTCGGTTCAGTCACGCCTGTAGTTTGAGCCATCCACTGGTGGTTGAGTTTTAACAGTTTCAGTTCAAACAACAACAACGCACATGTTCACAACACCGGCGTGTGGAATAAAGCTTGCTCCTATGAATCCTGCAGACGGTGGTGACCAGAGGGGCGGAGGCTATGCAGGAAGTGCTCGGCTGGGACGCGGCAAAGACGACGGAGCTGCTGCGGGCCTGTGAGGCCGAGCTGTCCACACGTCTCCAGCAGATTCAGGCCATGCGATCCATTAGCAGCACTCAGACGGACAGCAGCGGGCAGCCCAGCACGACGGGCACACAGGAGGGGGCACAAGCACCAGCTCAAGGCAGCACCTAGGACCAGACCCTACCTGAGCAGAGACTGATAAGGGTTCACACTGCCTGCCTCAGGGTCCGCAGAATGGGGTCGACTATGTGTTACTGTTTATGTCGACACGAAATGGAATATATGAATGTTAAGGATGTTGACATTTGCATCACTTTGTAAAACTTGCGAAGCGATTGAATGCTTAATGCCTGGAGACGAAGGAGGGCGATCCACCAAAGACACGATGACCTAAGCCACTATGCCAACAAGCTTTTTTATATTTGACCAGTTCCACGTTGTGAAAATAACTTCCATCTCATGGATTATTTTGAAACTCTCAGACTAGTTAGTTTAGTTTGGTAATAAACTTAAAATGGGGAAACGGCTAGCTTTTTTTTCTCCAGAGAGGACAAAATCTGCCACTCAAAACTCCCCAAATTCACAAATTAACACCCTGAATCGTTCTGTATTCCTGCCAAACAGTCCAACGGTGCTCTGCACTGGAAGGTTTATACAGGCTGTGTGCCTCATGACTTGTTACTTAATACCTTATTAGACAACTGTTTTTGTATTTGAATAAATTGATGATGCCATATTAATTAATGAGCTTTTGGGGTCCTTATTTCCCAGTCTTTTCTGCAAGCTTGACTCTCTGCATTTAGACTCAAATTTCATTGTCAGATAAAAAATTAAAAGATCCAATCGCAATGTAAACAAAAAGAGAAATGGATGTTGTTTCTCAACATGTGGAGCAACATATTCAATGATTAATTGAACCTTTATATTTCAAATCTGTTTTCCAGTAGTGATGGTAGAAAGATAGAATTGATGGATGATTGGGGGTTGGAGATTATCTCGGTGGGCAATTTAGAATCATCAATTACCCTAATAGTATTGTTTTTGGACTATGGGAGGAAGCTAGAATACCCAGTGAGAACCCAAGCACACACAAAAAGTAAATATGCAAACATCACCCAGTCCACAATGGAGTCGAACCAGAAACCCTCTTTCAGGAAAGGCCTTTTGAGTGTAAAAGCTCAATTAAGTTAACATGAGAATAAATCATACTTTTATAAATGTAATGACACAGGGCCTAGGGGTGTTTTTTGGGGAGTTTGAATTAAAAATCTGACAAGCAGGTTCATAATTTCCTATCTTGCCTCCCATGTTATTTGTGTATTTTCTTTCATGGTAAACTTTGTAAGCTAAACAGCATTAAAAAGCTTTTCTTGGTAAACGCCAAAAAGGACATTTTCCAGCATGCCGTCCAAATGATGGGACTCTTCTCTCTTTAAGGCTGTCTCATTCGGCTGTGGAAGTTATGTATCAGTCTTGTGGCTGTGTGATGTAAGGAGGTGTGGGGAACGTGTGCTGGTCCGTGTGACTCATGCTCAAGATAGCATTTCTCATGCCTGTCATCTCCTCTGTCTCTTCAACAATGAACGCAAATTTTCTGTGCTGTGACGTTATTAAAGTCTCGCATTTCTGCGGTCTCACCATTTTGTTAACTCATTTTAGACGCGTCAGTGGGAGGGGGTAAGCAACTTAAAATACGTGATTTGTGAACAATTTGATTTAAGAGTTAGGTTGTGGAGGATTTTTTTATTTGATTTATTTTTTGATAGACTGATGCTTCTCTTTGTAGAGAGTGCTAAATGTCCCTCGAATTTGTTTCTACACCTGTTTTGCTGTGCTCACGCATGAGTGGAACAGTAATGGGCATATGAGCTCTAAGCCTATTGGCAACGTGCTGGTGCTAGGTATTTTCCAACAGCTGGTTAATGGGTTTCATGGTGTGCGTAATTCCTGTGGAATTGGCTCCAACTAGGCTTAACAGTTTGGTGTGAGTGTGATACAGTGCAAGAGTTGTCAATTGTGCTCCGCCGTCTATATGAAGTAGAGCATTACACAACAGTGCACAGGTAAGAAGTCCAGGTTTGTTCAGTAAGCACTCAGGTGCCCTGAGGACTGCTGGGGCATTTTAAGATGAAAACAAACCATATCCCATGTGGTGGGATGATTTCCACCTAAGACCTTCCGATTCTGCTGGTCTGCAAATGTCAGGGTGACACATGGGTCAGTACGTAACTTGTATTGTGTATCGACAGTCAAACTTCCAGGTGTATGGCATTAAAAGCAGTTCACCCAAAGTTAACACACTACGGCTTAAAAAGTCAGAAGTTTACAGACGAGTCACAATGGCTTCATTCTGTGGAAACTCAAGACAAATACTTCTTTTCACGCAGTCCAGTGTTCCTCCCTCTAATGACTTGGGATTGCTGTGAACAAATTGCATGTATTAAGAAGGTTACATTTGTTTGTTTCTATCTCCAAAAACATAAATCTTAAGCAAACAAAGCAGCAGAATATCAGAAATATTGTCAAATATTGCTTTATTTGCACCAAGGACAAACATTCAAGAAAATCAGACAAATTCTAATTTAAAGCGAGAGCCTTGGCTTTGATGCTGGTGTACTTGATCTTCCATCCCTTGTTTTTCCCAGTGGAGTCAGATCTGAATGCGATGTGCACTTCATAACTCCCTGTGTCGATGCGGCCAGGTGGTGTTGGCCCGCAAAAGGGTCCGTACTCTTGTCCTGCTGTTGAGATCTTAGAAAAGCAGGCATCAAATAAGATTCACGACTGATGTCAGGACAAACATGAATATACAAGAAACCCCATGATCGTATGTCACCCAAGCTGGACGTGTCACTGACAGACTTCTACTAGGCATGTAGAGGAATACATTGCTTATTCATTTTCTTGTGAGTTAGATGCTGGCAAGGGGTTTAATACTGACCTTCAACATATCATACGGACAGGGTACGTCTTGGTGTCCCTCTATGTCAAAGGGTTCCGGGAAGTCTAGGATTATTCTGGAGCCCTCTGGTAGCCGGATAGTGTGGTCACACTGGCTCATGGGTGGGTAAGGGCTTGGGTAGTTTGGACTGGTCAGAACCCCAGATGGAGACGATAACACCTGCCTTTGGCAGGGCACTGTAAAGAAGGCCCAGAAATTAAATCATCCATGGTAAATGATTTCATTATTTTGTCTGGATTTCAGTGTTTAACCCCTTTGCTTATGATTGTAGCAGCAGTTTATCTGTGTATGTTGACTGCATCTTATATTTGTGTTTGATCTGCTGAAGATGTTAATTTGGAACGAATGTTGCTGTAAGTTAATTTTTTTATTGGAATATGGGCCATTGGAGGGTTTAAACACCAATAAGAAAATGGGAAAGTACAGAACCAGCACACGCCTGGATGAGCATGTTTTCAAAATGTTTGTTCTTCTTTTTTGGCTTGCAGTTGATAAATAAACCAAATAAAACTAATGCATAAAAAGTACTGGCCCTGAGAATATTTTTTTATCAAAGAAATGAAAATATTTCGCATTGCCTGAAAAAAGAAATCATGGGGTTCATTTAACTTTGTCATTTCTTTCCTTTTAGCATGCAGATGTTAGGGACTAAAACAAATGAGCATTGCATGGAGGCAGCGTCGCTGTAATTTAGATGATTAGTTAAATCTGTGGGCAGATAATCATTTTTTGTCTATTCACTGTATGATTTGTTTTGCCACCATTTTTCCTCTGGCAAAGTATAATAATTTAAGGCACATCAGCCGGTAATTGTGATTAATTACCTAGTGTCAGTGTGCTATTAGTGCTGCACACAGGTATCAATTTTTAATGCCATTACGAAGTCGCTTCTCCCAGAGGAATCGACAGTGATTAACCTCGCCACACACCAGCTGGAAGAGATCAACAACTTCATACGTCAAAAAAATCTTTTTTGGTATTAAATTAGTCAGCAGAGGTCAGCTATGGTAGAAGAAAAAAAATAAATCCAATATGTAACACTATAAACTTAAACTAAATATCTTATCAAATATATCATGACCACACGAAGCTGATGTGACACAATGTGGGCATTAGAATGCCGGTGTAAATGCGTGTTCACAAACTTCTCAAAGAGTAGTCTGTACACCGTTCTGAAAATGGCCTTTTTTTGGTCAAATTTGCTCTCGAGGAGGCTCTGAGCTGGGGTTTTACTTGGCCAGATAAACATACTCTATTTACAGAAATCAATTCACAATCAAACTGCATGCCAACCTCTGCACAACTTATGTTATCTCTGATTGCTCCCAAATGAACATGCCTCTTGAGCTGCAGCTTGTATGGCTCTTACCTGTGCAGGATCTTTTGTTGTCATGGAGAAGGTATCCTTGTCTGCACGTGCAGTAATAGCCTCCAATGTAATTGTGGCAAAAATGATCACACATTTTCTCCCCATCAACCTTGGACATACACTCATTGATGTCTGAGAGACACAGAGAGGGTAGAGATTGAGTCACTGCACATTTGGAAAGTACTTTTCTTCCATGAGCACATTTCAAATATGAAACATAACATTGTCTTTATTTTAATTTTTTTTAAACTATCAGGAATCTTATGGGAGAAATTAATGGATCACATGCATCACAAACGTCTGTTAGTAATTTAGTTTGTATCAACTCAAGCTCATACCAAAATCATATTTAAAAAAAAGAAAACAGTGGAAGACTCCAAAAAGATGCAAAGAGTGCCAGTAAATAACATTGTCGGAGATTTTAGATAAACATATTGAGTTTATAAAGGTAACAGTAGTTTATTTGGTATTTAGGTGATTGTTGGCAACATTTAAAACATGAAATGAAGTTTGCTTCTAACAAATGTTTTCTTGGTAATCAGACACATGTCCAAGATTCCATTTATCATGAAAAGGTAAGTTGAGTAGTTAATTTAATGTCACGCCTTGCTTTAAAAGAGTCGCCGTTGTTACTAATAACAAACAAACAAAAGGCCATCCACAAAAAAAACAAACACATCCAGGAGCCTCATTTATTTAATTATTTTCAACCGGTGCATTATGATTATCATTTCATATCAGCAAAAATTGATTATGTTCACTCTCTGGAGACAGACGCAGCCCCATTCCACACCTTTTCTAATGCACAATATCGAAATGCCCTTCATTACGGCCGGTGCTGGGGTGCTCTCTCCTGAGCTGCTTCTTCAACTTAATGGTGCAGCAGAAGGAGAAAAGGAGGACGAGAATGAACTGCTACGTCAAATGTAACATAAACTGTTCTTGCACAGTCCTCAAACAACTCTGTGTTACTCAGCAATCGTTCCGAATATGTTTGTGTGTTGGCAGAAATTTCTATTGGCAAAAATAAGGTTTCTCCCAATATACTGCTGTTATACTTTGACAACAATACATCACTTCTCTTGTAATTAAATAAAACGGCTATCCTCTCTGCAGGGGCCACACCACTCCCTACTTAGTGTAATTAGACATGCCAAAAATACACATGCCCACTGGCAACACATGTCCCTATTTTGCATCACCTTCTGAGGTGTAAAATGCTTGGAAGCCGGTGAATCGGCCCTCGTTAGAGTAGTCACTCCTAAAGACCACTGACATGAGGTTCCCAGCTGACAGGATGACGGTGTTCCTGGGGGTGCTTTCGTGGTTCTTTTCTTCCTCACCGCAGAACCGTAAAGTTTCGTTTCCCTCTGCCAAAACCTGGTTTGACAAGGTCAGGGGCCAGTCAGAAGGCTTTCCAGTGCATATCGGCATTTTTCCCCCTGCGTTTACCTGAATGTAGTCATATTCACATTGGTTTGAGGGCTCCATGCTGAAGTGGGTGAAGTAAAGTTTAATCCGCTGGCCCTGTGGTACGGTGATGTTCCACACTATGTGCTTGTTGTCAGGGTACGGATCGGGGAAGTCAGGGGAGGTAAAGTTGCCAAATAACCCTGTCATTTCTACACTCAGTGAGACATGGAGGGTGGAAAACAGGACAAATACACAAAAGCCACTGAGAGAATGGGTTGAATGGAAGCAGTTTGATCTATTACTTTTCCAAAAATAAAAAGCCGATACTCACATGGTCATGCTTTTTGGACAGTCCTCAGCCATTGCCTGTTTTTGAATGGTTCCCTTTGCCTGACAGGAGGGTAAATGAACCCGGCTGCCGTGGTTGGCTCACATTTAGGTAAACAAAACAGGCACATGATCGATGTGTAATCATTCCCCACCTTTGTCACAGAAATCTATATAACTGACAAACTGTGGGTCACAACAGTTGTGTTATTACTACTGCTCTAATGCTCTTTTTTCATCTAATACATTTTTCCCTCCTCAGTTTTTACAGTCTAAAAGTTATCAGGATATGGAAATCAACCATCACTTTTGTCATACTCCAGTACCTTGTGAATCTCAGGTCGACAGTGATGTTGATTAGACAAGACTCATGTCGCTAACTAATTATGTCAGATCGTGCTCATGTGAAGGCCAAGCTGTGAGGCTGTGAAACAAAAGCCACGAGAGAGATAAATACACTGTACCCACATCCGCCACTCTCTCTGTTTTTTGCATTTAATTACTAAAATGGGACAGAAAACAATCAATATTGCATCAACAACTGTTTCCCAGTAAATGAATCCCAAACATACTTTTTCTTTTCATTTCTGTCTGTCAGCCATTGCACTTTGCCAAATGCTTTAGGTTCAGGCTTTATTGTAAAAGCTCCTACGATTGGGGAATTGCAATGCATTCGCACTATCTGTTTTGATGGATTATGGATATTGATGTCAGATGCGACTGGGGCCTTTCAACTAGCAGCAGTTGTTTGATAAGTAGCTTGTAATAACCAAACCCATGTTTTCCCTAACACTACAGCACTAATGGCTAGCATTTGACGTGAATAACAATAATTATCCACATTAACATCAATGCTAATTTCCATTTTCAAAGGACCTTTTGATGGTACTCTTTCTCGGCCATAACCTTTTAGTTCCCCTGATTGTCAGGTGGGGAGGTGTTGAGACAGACTGCAGTCTTTACTGAAAGCAGATGTTCTCCGCTCGGACGTCATTCAGCTGCCACTCAAGCTTTTATGATCCAGTATGATGCATCAACAGAAATGATGCCCCCGGACTCAAAGCAGAGTAATTCTGGGGGTCTAACTTCATAAATGAGAAGTAATCATTGTTGTGGGATCCATGCCCTTTGCAACAACTGGATCTAGCTGCTTTCATTTGTGGACCCATAGAGTAGACATGAAAGAATTGCACCATTAATCTGTAACTGGCAGACTTTCATTGGGTGAATTTTTTCCTCTGTTAGAAAATTAAAAATGTTCAAAGACCTGCTCAGTAGTTTGATGCTCACTCAGTTTTAGCTATGGTAAAAAATCATTCAACAGGAATTGAAAGATTAGAGTCCAAATTTAATCAAATCATGACGTGAAAGAGAAGATGATAATTTGGGAAGAAAATATCATACCACAGAGGCCTACACAGAGAAGGCAGGAACTATTCTAAACAACAGCATATAAATGAATGGAGAATGAAAAATACGAGGACAGATGTTCAGTTCTTCATGGGGGGTCCCCCGGGAAACTGTGCCTACAGCAGTGTCCAAAGGATGGTTGGGGGCTCATCAGAAAGCAATGTTCTCCTCTTAGAAGTAAAACAAGTTTCTGACAACATAGTGTAATGAGGTGACTATAATCTGTTAGGTCATTAAAGAAAATGTACATATTAAAATCTGTTATGGATCTCACAGGAAGCCATTTAAACATACTAAAAATGTATCTAAAATCTCTCTGAAGCCGCCTCTATTTGTGGTGTGAGATGCAACATGGTGGTCTAGCATGACAAGTATCAACATGAATCCACTGCCAAAGGACCAATTAACACATTCACCACAAGTAATAACATCAATTCCCAACTTAACATCCCATTTTTGGAGAGGAGGGTCACTAAGTTATATGCAAATGTCTGCTTTTCTTTTTATGGTTAATTAAAATTGAATTTTTAACACGATGCCTTGACACCAGACCATCATCCACATGGGATGAAATGGCTTTGAAACCAAGCTTATATTGTACATGTGCGTCATGAAAAATGCTAATATTCAGCCTTGTCCTAGTGCATGCACCCTGGATGACTTATGAACACACACACACACACACACACACACACACACACACACACACACACACAGCCGAGTGCTTACTAGAAAACGTGAAGAGACACAGGGAGCAGGCTGTTTTGATTTCAGCATGATCAAACCCTAAAAGTCCATGTGCGCAACACAGATACTGCCCTCACAGCGCTGCTCCACCTGCTTGCTGTGCCGTGCAGTAATGAAGTGCTTCCTCATAGGAAGCCAGTCAGCCAGTCATTAAACAAGGAATAGTCCAGTCCAGATCAGTTGAAACTGACAAAAGGAGAGTGACTGTTTGTGTCTGAGAGTCAACAAAAGGGAGCCGTGGCGACATGGTAAGAAATGCTATGTCTGATGACGGAAAAAGGAAAATAGTGTTTTTCCCTTTTTGAATAATTTGCACCTCTCGGCTGGTCCCTCAGTGACCCCGGCAAGCTACCATAACATTTTTTTTTTCTGAGCTACACTATCTTAGACCATATTGTTTTAATAGATGCAGCTCTATGCCAGCGCAGTTTGTGAGTGGATTTACCCTCATTCTGCCGTCTTCGTCCTTTCTCTTTTCCATCGGCGGCAATCACAGCAGTCTCCACCACCCACAGGCTGTAAACTGTAATTAAGGACTTGAATAAGTAGGGATGTGTCAGTTGAGCCGAACACCCATGAACAATGTATACTTAATCTCCTGTAATTTTCTCGTCGACTGCAGTTATGCAGTTTGCTCTACCACAGCACATTACCTGCTGCAAACTGGTGACAGTTTAAGGCAGACCAGGCCGATAATGTCAAAGTATTACCCAATCAGTGATTTTTGATTTTGGAAAAAGGTTTACAACTTCGGAAGATGAGACGGAACATGCTTACGATAAGAATAAGCAAAAAAAAGATAATAACCCATCTGTTTTCTGTGTTATTGCTTCTTGCAGCTACATCGTCTTGCTCTGTTTTGATTTAGGCTTCAGGCCAAGTATTCAGGAGCTACAGAAACAGAATTAAATGGATGTTGTGAATCAGTATTTACTTTTTCTTTTGTTCTGAAACATGGCAGCTTAATTTGAATGTGTTTATTACTGTTGCCATTGTTCCTGCTTATTGTGCGTGGGCATTAAGAAGCCAATAGAGGACTTTAAATGAAAACCCACCCGGAAATATCTCACGGGCATTTTTTTTTTTGTTGCAAAAGACTGCATTCAGTTTTCTGCCTTTTTTCAACACCTCAACAATGTGAACTAGTCCAGGAAGAAATAAACGTAAGAGTGTGAGTTCACCTGCATGAATGCTGAGAGCAAAAACATGAAGGGTATGTTCAGTTTTCAGCAAAACAAATGAAACCTGTGATCCAACATAGTGGTGATTCTTCCGTTGATCGTAGTTTACATATAAAAACTGACTTAAAAAAAAAAAAAAAGAAAAAAGCCACCACATGGGCAGATTTATTTTAACTGTATTGCGCATGTTGGAGTGATCATACCATCTTGTTGAGCTGCTTAGTGTCATCATTAAAAATCTAAAACCTATACCAACAGTAAATCATTCTTGTGACTGAGTTTTGATTCAACTGCAGCTGTAAATGTATTAATGTTATTAATGAATACGAAGGCAAAGAGGGGACACAAAGACTTAAATACAGAAGTTATCAGCATTTTTAAAAATCCATCAAGTCTATTGAAAGTGGTTGTAAGCCTCTCCGTCTCCAGAGCTAAACATACATTTTCTGTGTGTAATCTATTTTTCACCAACCTTCACAGCATCCCCAGATGCTAATCAACAACAACGTCTCCTGATGAATTGATGTTGAGCCTTTTGTGCTGAAACTCATTCCTGACGTCAGGCCCATTACTCTTTCAATTTGGCCTGGCACGGCTCTTTTTCACATATAACAAATATGGTCATTTCCTCGCTAATTCAAACAGGCTCCAGCTTTAGAAATCCAGCAAACTGCCATAAGGCAGTAAAACAGTTAGTGACGCTGGTGTGAGAAAGCAATGATGAGAAATGGCACACAGGTGCTGCTCTCGCCCCTGAATTCCTTCCTTCATTATGTGTGCTCAGTGCCACCGTGCTTTTTTGCCGTTCATTAAATTTCAAGCAGGTTCTTCTTTCGTATCATTCCTGCTGAATTACAATTTAACAGCAAGAAAGGATTAATGTAAAGAAAATAAAGAGCGTAAAAACGTCATAAAAGTGCACAAAGGCCATCATTAAAAACCCTAATATTGATAATAATGAGAGGTTATAACTTGCATAATAGATTAAACGTTTTTCAGGTCTGTTAGGTTTGAGAAAAATGACAGCACACCTGATCATTATGTATGGATTTTCGATTAGAATAATGTCATGACTCATGTAGTCTGCATCAAGAACTTCCCAAACCATTAATAACCGAAAACCATAAGTGTCACCCCTAATGCTTTGGTGACATTTTGCTTCTCAGTGACTCAAATGGCTTCTTTTTGTCTCCATTGTATTGTAACAAAAACTATTTGGCATGAGGGAATTTCACGTTGTTAGAGCAAGAGCAAACCCTTGTATTTTTGCACAGTTAAAAGAACTCCCACAAGAGTCTAATTGTCCTGAAAAAAAAAGCTGCTGTACAGATTGGGAGAAAATAACATTACTTGAGATCCTTATCTGCTGCTGTGGCAACAAATCTATTACAGGAGCAGAGGCTGAGCCTCGCGAGGGTAGTTCTGGTGGCTAATCATGAGAATGTCATCCTTCTGATTGCAGACCTACAGTACATTGCATCGTTTAAACAAGACACTTATAATCTTGTGATGGTTTCTTTCCTGTAAGAGGCAGCAGTCTTCTATCAACATTTACAGCTCCTGGTCATATCACCCAGTACAATCGAAAACTGTGACGTTAACTTCAAACATCTTCTTTTGACTCAAGTACACTACAATATAGCAATTACATACAAACCTATAAGACACTAAAACACATGAACGCTTTGATTGTTTTTTCTTGTTGAAGCTCAAGCTGTATGGTGATTACTATAGTGCAACGGCTGAATAACAATT